TATTATGACTATTTATATGTTCTTTTGTTTTAGTATGCATTATATATAATTCTATTTTATTTATAGTATCGCTTTTTGTGAGAAAGTATTGCTTTGCTTAGCGCTTCTGCATTTAATGAAAGCTCAACCTCATTGCTTTTGTTTGTTCTTCTTTTTAAATAAGTTCGTGTGACACTAATAATTAGGGATGAATTAGTAAAACCAATATCATCATACCCTCTAAAATCTTTAAACTAATCAAGGCCCGGTTTATACCTGAGTTCTGTCTTTTGTATAGGGGATTAAGCAACTTGGTATGTGGACTTTGGATTTCTCATTACCTAATCGCTAAGGTTTAGTATCTCATGTAGATTGCCTACTAGTTTTACTCTAATCTGCTTACTAAGCCATTGCCTGTCGGTTGTTATCCTGTATAAATAAATCCCTAAATAGGTTTTATGCAGGCTTATGTTTTGTGTGTTAAATCTTTGATTTTAAACCATTTTTGTTTGCTCTGAAGGGAATCCTACCTGGAGGGGTATTGGTTTCGCCCCTCCTGTATTTTTCTATTTTAATAAAAAACTTGTTTTCTTTAAATTAAAAAAATAAAAATTTGAGTGAAACCACAGCTCTTCAGAATCCAATTTGGATGCATCATAACTAGTTTAACACTCCCCAACACTGCACTTTCATCCATTTGTTTTTGAAGTATATGTTCCATGAATACATAACAGTTTTCATCTTCTTTATTTATTGCATATTTAGCATGTTGAATTGCTCCTTTGGGCACCGCGCACACTATGTGTGCATATGCATCAACCTTACATTTGTAATTTGTGCAGGTTAGACCTGTCCATTCTGGAACAGCAACACTTAAGGATGCCACGTCAGAAGCTATCCGAGATTGGGTGACCAACGTCGAAACGACTCACTATATCTTGGGATCTGTTGCTGGGCCCCACCCATACCCTATGATGGTTAGAGACTTCCATGCAGTGATTGGTAAAGAAACAAGGAAGCAAGCATTGGAGAAGTGGGGCAGAAACCCTGACGTGCTTGTGGCATGTGTTGGTGGTGGGTCAAATGCTATGGGCCTGTTTCATGAGTTTGTTGATGACAAAGATGTGAGATTGATCGGGGTGGAGGCTGCGGGCTTTGGTCTGGACAGTGGTAAACATGCTGCTACTCTAACAAAGGGAGAGGTTGGTGTGCTACATGGAGCTATGAGCTATCTGCTTCAGGATGATGATGGGCAGATAGTTGAACCCCATTCCATAAGTGCTGGGTAACAGATCTTAAAACACACTTTACCTGACCTACCAAAGTTCCTTGTGTTTTCTTAGAATACAACTTGTGGCAAGACAAATGTTTTTCAGAAAATATAAGTTTAGTTTTGCAGTGCATCATGATACAATGTTTGACTTGCAAATATAGAAAACATAAAACTGTTTTAGTAAAAAAGACTGTCTTTTCTCATAGTGAGCAGTCATTTTCTACTAAAGGTTAAGAGCCTGTTCGGAACTATGAAAATGAATTGCTAGGAAAAGAAACTGATGGGGGGTTCGGAAGGGAAAAAAAGTTGAGGGAAAGGTTTTAATGAATCAATCTTTGGTAATGTTAAAATCATTTTATTTCTATATTTCTATTTCATAAAGGCCGAAAAACCTAAATATCAAAACATGCCATTTTTTGCAGCCCAACATAGCCCAAAGAAGTGAGGAAAATATTTTCCTTTTCTTGTGGCGAACACATGGGAATCTATATCTTTTCTGGAACGTGGTTTCATGTGTTAAACACAGGACTATCGTTAGTAGGAAACTAGTTTCCTATAAACAAACAGAGCCTAAATACAAACTATAATGTCTTGACATTTGTCCTCCTTCATGGATTATTAGGTTGGATTATCCTGGAGTCGGACCTGAGCATAGCTTTCTTAAGGACATGAAACGAGCTGAATATTATAGCATAACTGATGAAGAGGCTTTAGAAGGTGAGTACATTTATGGATTTACCAATCCCATGTTGTGCGTTACGAATCTCATAGTAAATATGGTTGTATGTATATCTGCAGCATTTACAAGATTATCCAGATTAGAGGGCATTATTCCTGCTCTGGAGACATCACATGCGTTGGCTTACTTGGAGAAATTGTGCCCAACTCTGCCAGATGGCACTAAGGTTGTGCTAAACTGCAGTGGCAGAGGGGATAAGGATGTTCAAACTGCTATCAAATATTTGAAGGTTTGACGGTATTTATTTTTATGTTGTTGTGGATGTTTGACACGGGGATGTGTTATTTTGATAACTTGTAATAGAAATTTTACTTCAAGAGTAGGTCTCTTTTCCATCTATCAATGGTTCTCATTATGGCGGCTATAGAATTGCATGGTATTTCATGTTTAGGTTACGTTTGGTAGCTGGTGCGATGGTAAGCGATTATGTTATAATGACATGCAAAACATAATGTAATTGAATAAAATTTCCAGTTCCATTGCTATATGCTTTGTTACTTGTATAATGATCATTTTACCTGGTATGTACTATGTAGTATGTAGCTACTACGATATTTTTTTTTATACTTTATATTCTAAAATTTCCCTTTTATTTTACTTTTCTGCCTTATTTCTTTTTTTGCTTTTAAGGAAATTTACCCAATGAGTACCAACCTAACGATCGCTGTTTCTCATCAAATCAATACATTATGTTTTTTTTCAATCAACTGCAACTGTTTTATTAGTTACCAACTTACCCATGTAACATTCTCAGGCATCTTTGGACATTTCTACTCATATTTAAGTAGATCATTATCAGACTTAAATATGTCAGATCGGACCAAACTGCGATAGTTTAAACTAGTGGTGGACCCGGGCCGGGTGGCCCGGCCCGGTACTATTTGAACCGGCTCAAACTGGTGGCCCGGCCAGGGACCGGTCCGGGTAGGCCCGGCCCGTTGGATTTCCGGACCCGGGGGATACCCGGGCCAGTTCCGGGCCTCCTTCAAAAAACTTGAGGCCCGACCGGGCCTAGGCTCGGGCCTGACCCGGCCCGGGTCCAACACTAGTTTAAACTTTAAATGACACATGGAATAGATATTATTAGTTCAAATTATATGAAGTATTAGATTTAATCAGACTAGATTAGATCAGATTAAATTTAAACAGACTAGATCAAACCAGGCTAGAATAGAAAATTATAGTTCAATTATGAACATCTTTGCAAGCCTCATGTTTTGTAGAGCTATGCGTTTTTTTTTTCTTTCCATTTACAAGCATTTGACTCACATTTAGAGAAATTGTTAAAACAGATTTTACAAAATGGAAATATTCCCATGCGGAGTGTTAGATATCACCACATAAGTACATAACTCGACATCTCGATATATACTTTGTATAATATTACCCAGTCATAATCCACAAATCGGAAATGCTCTCACTTGAGATACCACTGAATAACGATTATCAAAACAAAATCATCTCAAAGAAATATTAGATTTGCAATTAAAAGATGTTCATCTATGTTGCATTTTAAAGTGTGCACGTAATATGTTAGAATTAAACAAAAATAAAATAAATCCCAAGACTTGTCATTGTTACGAGAATGAATCTCAGTGACATAAAAATCAACAATTGCATGACAACAAATGCCAAAATCGTGTTGCAAAAATGCAGATGTAAAAAAAAAGTGAGACCGTTGAACTGAGTTGACAAATAAGAACTTCACAACTTCATCTTGACTTGTAAATAAAACAAAATCTTCTTTTTTACTTGATTCTTATTCTTATTTTTCGATCAAAAGTGTTATCATTCATACCTATATCCTCAAAGTTTGGATTTGAGTGTTTAACGATGAAACGGGAATGTCCATCTTCATGTTGAGGGGATGCAGTTGTGTGAATCATATGATGATCATTATTTTGGATAAGGGTGGGCATATCAATTTTGATTTGATTTTTATCGACTTTCAATTTAGTTCAATTTGAAATGGGTTGAAAAATGATTATTAAAGAAAAATCATACTATGTTTCATTTGGTTCAGTTTGGATTTGTTAGTTTTCAAAATATATTAAGAATTTATTGAATACTTTAGTTCGTTTCAATTTTATTCGATTTTTCACTTTTTCAAGTTGCATAAGGTATGATTTCGATTTGATTTACTTCACTTTGGTATGGTTCAGTTAAATCAAAACCCCTAATTTTGGATATGAATTATGCATTAATTTAATCATAAATGTTCACCTTCATATTTTTGGTACAACGGAAAGAATGTGGACCTTAATGAACCATAATGTGTATTGTTTCAAATAGTTTTTATTTGTGTAGTATAATTCCACTTTAGATCCTCCGAGTTTTGTGTCATTTCCATATTTAGTCCTCGCCTTACACTTTATCCATTTTTGGTACCTGACTATTGTTTTCTTGACCATTTTCGGTCCATCTCTGGGCATTTTTACTACCGGAAAAGGACTATATATGGTCAAGAAAACAATAGTTAGGTACCAAAAATTGATAAAGTGAAAGATGAGGACTAATTGTGAAATTAGTGCAAAACTCAAAGGACCATAAGTGGAATTTATTCGTAGTAATATTGAGTCGAGATTGGCAATGATTGTAATGCCAATTCCAATCCCATTTATCCGGTACCAGCTTGGACTAATTCTAGTCCAATTCTCAGCTCAGGTCCACCATTTTCCTTTCTAGTTCCGTGTAAGAACTCAGTTGGTTCAATTCCAGTACTATTGCCAAACTAGAGCTGCATCCACCCCTAACTGCAATAGGTAGGATTAATTATGTTTACCATGATACCCCAATTTTGTACAGTTGAGGCCTGAGGGTTTCCAATGAAACTTAAGGAGATATTGAATTGTGGTAGCCGGTGAGTCCTTGTCAATGGGGGTTTGTGTCAATAATGTGTTTATCCCCCGCCATTTCAAGTCAAGTGATATAGTTTGCTAATCAACAGTTACCTGCTAACTGATTTTTGTTCCCTAGATTTTTCTAAAGTTTGGGATTTTATCAATCTTTTTAGGAACTTGGTGTTCATTTCTAAAGTTTTAAGAATTATCACGGATCATGATAAATAAAAAAAAAAAAAAAATTATCACGGATCTATTCTTCTACACCCATATTGTGATGGCTCACCCACTCCCAACTACTGTTGTTACAATATGGGATTATGCGAATTGAGATGTTTCGAATGGGTGGTGAAACTGAAACCGAATCCATGTTACTCATAGTTCCTGATCAGTGGTCGTCAAAGCGGAGAATATTCATAAGCTCTTCTGCTCTTGTAGTAATTACTATGGATTTAGATCCAGTAGAGCTCGCGGGCCGTGGCTGGTTCATCAACATGGTTGGTTCATCGACAGCATGATCCACCAATATAAGAGAGCAAATACGTCTTTCTCCATTCACATGTACCACATAAGAGTGCATGATCCACATCCACCTAGTAAATAAACACATGTACCATCTCTGACCACAAAAGCAGGGAAGGAAAAGGGAGGCCGTAGTTGCAAATCCAAGATAAAATTTATTAGTAAAGAAATACATGAGAGTTTCGTCGTGAGTGTAAAATGCCCTCTCTACTACAATAATCACTGTGCCACTCTTTCTAATTAATAAATTTGGCTTCTACTTCTTCTCGGGAAGCTTCTCTAACAACTCTGGTATGACCTCAAAAAGGTCTCCTACAAGCCCATAGTCTGCCACCTGTGTTTTGAAACAACACAAAACCTCACAGTTTGAATACTGAAAGCCAAGCCTACAACTAGTCAACAATTTAACAGATAATAAGTTTGATTGTTGAACTTCAACAGTAATAATATCACAAGGGTGATCCATAGATGAGATATTTTTTTGATTCATGAACTAGTCATGGCAACAAACACACTATCCAAATATTAGATATGGCCAAAATCTATAACGGATGGTCTTTTATTAACAGAGAATGTGCAGAGGCAACTTGGCTTTTCTGAAGAGTGGGTGAATGATTTTTATGATCATGTCCAGTGTCCGGTATATTTGGTAATCATTAATGGTAACAGGGAAGGCTCTTCTTCACGCCCCTTAGAGGAGTCCAACAGAGGGGATCATCATGGTTATTGGAGGCTGAAATGCTATTCAAATTTTTAGATCTCAGAAGCAGCCTAATTTGGTCAATTTCACTACACCAAAGAAAGCACCTCTTAAAATTTGCAGGGCTAATAATAAGCATGTCTGCACTCACTCCACCAATGCAGCTACCTTATCTTCCACAAATTTGCTGGGCTAATAATGAGCATGTCTCCAAACAGACTGCTTTCTTACATGGAAAGTCTTCAAAAAATCCCTCCCCAGAATTTCTGTGAAAATGGGGCTTTAACCACCCATTGAGATGTCCTTTCTGTTGCACTAGCTCCTCCACATTGACCATTGTCTTTTACGATGCCCATAAATTCAGGAAACTTGGAGGTATCATGGGGGCATTGGTGCAATCATGATTGAACCCCATCCACCCTTAAAGATATGTGAATGAGTTGACTCCAATATCATCATAGTAGAAGTTGAGTCCAAAACCTTAGGTGGCATCTGCTTGGACAACACTACTTTCCCATGGAGAATATGGACGACGCTTGATGAAACTCACCTTACTAAAGCACTCTCAAGATAACTATTAAACATGTATACACAGGGAAATCAGGTTGCTGATGATCTTGCTGCTAAAGACTCCCCCAACAGATTTAGATTGGGTTACTTTTATGACTTGGGTGGTACTATGGTATGGCCCATACTAGACTTTGTAGAAAAGTACTCCCTCCGTCCCAAAAACAACTTCCCACTTTCCTTAAATGGATGTCCCAAAATTAACTTCACACTTCAATACTTTATTTGGCAAATTATCTACATAAAAAAGTGATAAACAGTGCCAAATAGTGTTTAAACAGTGACAAACAGTGTTTAAACAGTGCCAAACAGTGTTTAAACAGTGCAAAACAGTGCACTCTACAGTAAAGTCAAATTTATTTTCTAAAAGTGTGTGAAAGTCAAACCGGGAGGTTGTTTTCGGGACGGAGGGAGTATATCGTTATTAAAATACACTGGGCCTTGTCCCTCACTGGAGCTTACCTTCCGGGAAACTAAAAGTGAGAAATTGTTGGGAAAATAATTAGCAAACCAAATAGTTTCTTCATTCAATCCTAGATTTGCTCACAAGGTTACTGATATCACCAACTCTTCTGTTCAACCATTCCCCTTGATAATCTGAATGGCCCCATTCATAGAGGATTGAAAAGGCACTTTGCAAAATTTATTTGCACAAAAGGAGAAGAAATGCCAAGTAATACATGGTAAATTATTTTGGGGAGTGGCAGACAATTTGTCATTAAAAGTTGAGAAAAGGGTCATATAAGCCCTTGTACTATTGTAAAAACATCACTTAAACCCCTCTACTAAATAAAACATCACATAAACATATCAACTCTTAAAAGAGAGTCACATTAGCCAAACTACCGGAAATTCATTCTTTTTAACCGGTCACTCGGTCAGTTAATATCCTTTTCTTTTTCTTTTTCTTTATTTTTCCGTCTACTTTTGGTTACGTTCTCTTTCTTCCTTAGTTCCTTTCATTTCTCCAGCTCTCTCTTTTCGATCTTCTTCCACCTTCCTCATTCTTTTCATTTTTTTCTTTTCTTATTCTTTCTTAACTTTTTCTTTCTTCTTTTTTTACCACCTCAGAGACAACGAAGAGAGGTGGTCTACAAATCCTAATCTAGATCCGGTATGCTGAAATTAAGGTTACATCCTTCATGCGTGCAAGTCTTATACGGACGGGTACGTATTATAGCCAGTGTTTTAAATAGCGGTCCGCTACCGCTATATAGCGGTCGCGGTAGGCACCGCTACCGCTACGGGCCGCTATCATGGTGTGATTTTTGAATCACAGGAAAATTCCGCTAAGCCGCCCGCTACAGGCCGCTACCGGCACACTTCTAGCAGTACATCACAAACTGGTTGATGTGTAAATTTTGTGTACATGATATGAAAAAATACATTAATGATGATGCATGGACTACAGGCCGCTACCAGCACTTGCGGCAGTACATCACAAACTTCCGGAGTGAAACTCTGAATTAAATGTACATGTATCCACATACATTATGTTAGCAAATATTAATAAATATCTAAATTTTAATTACTCTCTCCGGTTTTTAATAAACTTCACACTTTCCTTTTTGGGACGGTCTAAAATAAACTTCACACTTCCTTATTTCCCTTTTTGGCAAAGAAATCTACATCAAAACAGTGTCAAACAGTGCCAAATAGTGCCAAACAGTGTCTCAACAGTGCCAAACAGTATCTCTACAGTGCCAAACAGTGTCAAAAGTGCCTCAACAGCGTACTCTACAGTAAAGTCAAATTTCTTTCCTTATTTTGTGTGAAGTCAAACTGTGAAGATTAAAAAAACCCGGAGGTAGTATTAAAACCGAATTAATTATTCATTAATAAGGATGATTTAACTTTAATATTGGTTGACGAAAAAACTGTTGACTTAAGAAAACAATTTGGAACGAAAGTGGTATTATTATGGATTATGCAAGTTGCAATGCATGGTCCACTTCTTAAAATTTGATTGTGAAAGAACAAAAAAATTCATATAAGTAATATATTTTTGGGACGGAGGAGTATATCTTTTTATTGAAAATTATTTATAATATACAAATGAAATAATAATGTTCTTTGTTAAAAATATTTTCATAAAAGTATAAAATTTATAACTTTTACTACCTATGTAATATTCATATTGAATTGTAGGTGGTGACTGTGTAATATTTGGCACTTTTGTAATGTGTCATTTAATTAACAATCTATTTAATTTAAAGTTGTGTTAAGACTTGTTTGGTTTGAAAACATTTTTTTATTGTGTGTGTAATAATTATTTAGTTTATCAATCGTTCTAATTATCATTCTCTTTTAAGTGTCATATTCTTATTGGTTGATTAGTTGTTAATGTTATAAATGTTCAAACAAATATTCATAATGTTCCTATTAACTTTAACACCCATTAAATACTCCCTCCGGTTCTTAATTAAGTTCTTGGTTTGACTTCACACATATTAAGAAATAAATTTGACTTTACTATGGAGTGCAGTGTTTGGACACTGTTTGGACACTGTTTGGCATTGTTTGACACTGTTTTGGTTTAAATCATTTGCCAAATAAGGAAAGGTTTGAGGTAGGAACTTTAATATGGACCGTTCCAAAAAGGAAAGTAACAACTTAATTACGGGACGGAGAGAGTATATGTTTTGCGCATTTGAAAAAATTTATCGCCGTTGCAACCGCTACTGGCCCGCAGGCCACTACCGAGATGACCGCTACTGCTGCCGCTACAGCTATTTAAAACAGTGATTATAGCAAGAGTCATGGATGTAATATATAGGGCGCATGCAAGAGTACAGAAAAATCAATTCTGATCAATTATTTCTTTCACAGTTTCACATGTTTGTCTGGACCTCTAGATAAAGCTTTTATTTGCCAATACTGTTTGCTCTTACGTTCCATCTTCATCAGGAAGAAAAGAAGAATATTAAAATTAGTCAATTAGAGGAACAAAAATAGAAGAAGTGTCAAGTGTATGTAAGAAGGGGGTACGGGAGCTGAAGTAGGAACCCAGAGCCAGCGGAAGATAAGGAGAATTAAAAAACAAAAGGTAAAGAAGTTCAGTGCATTCGATCGGGAGTAACTACCTGGAAAGAAAAAAGAGAAAGAAAAAGGAACAAGAAAAAAAAACAAATATGCAATTCCTGCAAATGAGTGCGAAGAAGACTAGAACAGATAGTTGGAGAAATGAAACGAAGAGAATTGACCGGCTAAAAAGGGTGAAATGCCGGTAATTTGGTTAAAGTGATCCTTAAAAAAGAGTTGATATGTTTATATGATGTTTTTTTAGTAGATGAGTGTAAGTGATGTTTTTGCAATAGTACAAGGGCTTATATGACCCTTTTCTCTTAAAAGTTCGCTTTAATTTATACCCTCTCATTTGTGCTACTACACATCTCTAAACGGCTAAAAGGCACGCTACTGAAGTCTCATGAAATATATGGCTCACTATTTCTAGGGTTCACAGTTCACACCAGGACAAGTTTAAATATCATAAGAGTTCTTGGGATAGTCTTTGCTACTTTGAAGAGGGGGCATTGGTTTCACTCGGATACAAGATATTATGAGAGCTCACATTGCTAAATAAAGGGGAACTTCATAACAGATCCATTTGTTGGGGCACATTTGGTAAGGCTTTATACTGGGACACGGAACATCCTGCTTATAAAAGTGGCAGAATTGAAACTCTCATAGTCGGAAAAGAATGGTAAAATTGTTCCATAGAAAGGGGACCGCAGGAAGCATTACCCTACGCACCGGATCGCGACTTTGACTACCATGGTCAGGCATACAATTTCCATTGGGAAAAATGTTCAAAGTTGGCGCAAGGAAGTGCTAAAAGGAACAAAGTGTCAATGAAAGACTACATTCTTCAAGGTCTTCTTGGGAGATGCTACGTATTGTCTAGCTATGCTGCAATAATTACTCCTTAGCTATACTAAATAGTGCAGCAACAAAAACAACATCCAAGCCTTAGTCCCAAAAGAGTTTGGATTCATCATATGAAATTGTAGCGAAAAGAGATTTAAAAAAAAGAACAAAAGATTAGATAATGATAAGATAAAAAGATAAGATAAAAAGGATAAAAAGATAGAGAAAATAAGAAAGATAAAATGAGATCAATCCTCCACACATATCAGTACTAAATACGTAGTAGTAAATAGTAATAAACTAAAATAAGTTATTGATATATAGAATAACGACAGAAAAAGTGATACACTATAATAGCAATCTGCAATCATCATGATAATTGTAAATTACAGTAGCACCTAACGGTAAATATTGATAAAAATAGCAATGAAGTAAAAATACCAAGTGGCAAAATAATATCATAAATTATTAAGTGTGTAACTATACCTAGTGGCTGGAGGTCGTCTCAAGATAAAGATGAAGACAGAAGAATGAGATTGACGCAGAAGATATGATGAAAGTTGAGGGGGAAGCAAAAGTAAGAGGTCGATGCAGAAGATTTGCAGAGAAGAAATGAGCTAGATAGCAGGGATTCACAGGTGAGCGATACACCCGTTCACCACAAGCTGAAGCTGTATTTAGAAAAAGGCCTGCAATATCAGAGCTGCATTTTAACTAGAAACTATTCTAGGAATGGCTGATAACATTACCTTAAAATTCACAATAAAGAAGCTTTAAAGGGAACTACCTCAGCTGGGCTTATCAAGATTAACATTGCTGCTGGAATGTTCAATTGTAAGATGGGCTTCTATTGCCATCAGGAATTCTTATGGATCACCCCTCTTATGAATTCCAGAGCATTAACAGCATTCAAGATGGGTTGGTACCCCCCCCCCCCCCTCAAGCACGACAGTGGTGCTTTAGCATTATTGAAATTCACATCCCCAAAATGGCACAGAAATGTGGTGAAGGTAGTCATCTACCTTCACATAAACCCTCAACTTGACATGTATAGATTTCTAATCTTGTTGTCATTTTAAATTGCAGCTTGGTGATCTGTTTGCTAATAGCCTTGCACACTCATTTGCTAGATGGATTTGCACATAAAATGGGTGAACACAGTTCGGTTGTGACAAAGATATACCTAAGCATATGCATCCTAATTTATATCATGATATATTGATATACACCAACTTCCTTATACTACTCGCATCTCAGTCTAACTTTGGAGTGATGTTTGTGCCTTGCTGGTTTAGCTAGAATGACTTCGGCTTGCTTTGGGACCTAGACGGTAAAGCTGTCGATATGGAGAAACTTGGCATATTGGGTGAGCTCAATATGCCTCTTCCAATTGGAAGGCCGAGATCGTTAAGTCTAGGTCATTCACGTGGTTGTCATCTTGTCTAGGCTTCTCTTGTTACTAATTTAACCTCTTAGTCCTTTGGACCTTTTGGTCGGCAGTTGGTTTATTGTATGTTTGTATCCTGAGGATATCTCCACCATTATGGGTTGACAGAGATCAATCTTGAGATTCGTCTTCTCGTCTTTTTTGGCGTACCAGGATCCAACCGCTCATTTGAGCTTAATTTACACTAAAACCATATTAAGACTTAGGGTTCAATACCAAGGTTAACTTTACAGGAGTACCCCAATGTCTCAATATGTGTTGGTTTGTATTTTAATATTTGGTTGATGTGGATGACTTAACATGCCAATTGGGAGATTAAGATCTAGCACCTGGCAAGGCCGGATTAATTGGGGTAAAACGGGATCTAAGTAAAACAGAAGGGCCTAAACATGAATTTAGGAAGGTATTGTAAGAACGGCTAATTTATATCATCATACATCAGGTGGTTTGGGGGGTTGACCTGAAATATGGGTGCATCTGCATCTTTGTTAACAGCAACAATGAATTTGGAATCTCTCATGCCAGCTATGTGTTGAATAGCTCCAGAAACACCGAAAGCCATATATAATTCTGGAGCAACAATTTTACCAGTCTGCCCAACCTGAAAAATAAAACCAACATATATGGCTCTATCCATAGAAAGATTAACTAGCACACATATATCTCCCAGCATATATATAAATTATATATAGGGGGCGGATGTAGTACAAAGTGTACTTATTGTGTAAAATTTTGTATAATGAATCTTTACGCTATTTGTATAATTCTGTGATGAAATAAGCAATTGCATATTAACGTTTGAAGTGTTGCATCCAAAAAAAACTTTGGTTTGATTACCAAATTGCCACTGCGTTTCCAGCCATTAGATCAATTCAAATGATGGCCATGATGAGTTTGTATTTTGTAAATTGGGAGGACTTTGAGATAGATTCAAGATCAAATGAGAACAATGTTTAACGTGAGAACGTGAGAACACCCACATTTGCCCCCATATACAATGAAGCTCACTCAGTGCACTTCTTCGAGTTAAGCATAATATTTACCAAAATGTCATTATTTAATATTGACTTGGTTTGAACAAAGTTAAAAAGTGCACCAGACTACACACACACACACACATATATCTTCTTAGCTTTTTATAAACATGATGAGGTCAAGATTAAGTTTATATAAATTATGATGCAGAAAATTTCAAGTTTATGATGCAGAAAATTTTAAGTTTATCACTGTTAGGAGCACCTGTGCAGCCTCTTCAAGGTCAAGATAGAACAAAAAGAAGAGAAGGGAAGCTGTGTTTGACACTTTGACAGATCTTTTGATTTCAAAAACAGAAAATAATCTAGAAGCTTAAGTTGGAATTAGCCTGGCACCAAACCTAGTCAAGTCACAGTAAAATTAGTTCTTCCAGAAGTAGTTTATTTAATAATAATAATAATAATAATAATAAAGACTATAAGCCCGTTTGGTGACCCATTTTTTCGGCTTATCGGGCTTATCAGCCAGCTTTTCACCAAACACGTAACTTTTGTTTTCGCGCGCTGAATTTTGTAATAAGCAGAAAAAGTAAGGTTGGAGTTACTTTTCTGGCTGTATTGGCTGAAGTTTGGCTGAAGTTACTGTAGACGATCATTTTAGCTATTCTTTCATATAATTTTTTATTTAATTTATTAATAACAAATATTTTAAATATAATTTTTTCATGACTAGGCAGAATCAGCCAATATAGCCACTTCAGCCAGAACTTCATAAATTTCAGCAAAATTAGCCAATTCAGCCAATTTTAGTGTTACCAAACGGGCTCTATATATAGCTAATATAACTATGCTTAGAAGCATTCTTTATTAATATAACTAATACAGAAAATCTTCGGTGTACAGTACTGAACCCCCTAGTAGATTGTTGCATTTCTTTTGCTTTGCATGCTCCTGCCTCACTTGTTGAGCTCTTGTTAGGTTTTGTATATAGCTCGCGCGTGTGTGAGTGGGTACATGTGCGTGTGTACGCACTTCCATCGAGTTCACAAACATGCATAGAGTAAAATATGAATGCAAAATAGGTTCCATGTAGATAGCAACCATCAGAAAAAACTTCTGGAGGTTACAACAAACAACCCCTACCTGGAGATCATTAGGAACATATCCCGCATCAACTGCTGCACGAGTCGCACCAACTATGACAGAAAAGAAATCAAGCATCTTCATTAGATAATGAAATATCTTACGGTGCAACTGATGATTAATTTCAAATGATAATTGCATAAGTGTGATAGGAACCACCAGATTTCCAGACAAAAATTAACAAAGATCAACAAGAACAGATGAACCTTTATTGATTACGAGAAAACAATTACAGAAGTAGAAGAGATAATTCTGGCCGAAGCCCCCAAAATGAGCCGAAGCCCCCCAAAGAAAGAGAAAGTTCTCGATCTTCCCAAAGTCCCAAAGTCAAAGTCTAAAACAGCCTGCTCAACCCTTCCTTACTATCTTCTATTTATACTAAACTATTACACTTTATTCTTATTAATACTCTAATAGGCTCGGTCCTTTATTCTTATTATCTAATTGGCCCGGTCCCTAACAAAGTGCTATATAGAGGAAGAAAAATCTTGCATCTCAAAAAGAAGTGGTTGGCAGGAAACCAAAAAGAAGTGTTTTTAACAGTATGAAAAGTACTTTTATATTGTAATGCTTATTTAGGAAGAGGCATGTTCGATGATTTTGCATGTTGGTCTTGCAATATCATCAACTCATCGCTGTCTGACTTGTCTCATGATGTATATAACTATATATACAATGCATCTGGATATAAACTACGATGATGGTTTTAGGATTTCCACCTCATTATTGCTTCTTATGAAAGTTGAGAACTTGCTATAGGAAGGGCATTCTGGTGTAGAACAATGCCTATATGCTTTTTTGCATGAATTTCTAAAGTTATTTAAACAATTAATTGGCAATCTATATTCAATGTCGCCAACCCCAACTAGTTGGCTGATAATGATGGAGTTGATTAGAAATATTAGAAATACATTTTATTGATAGAACAAAGAAAGTATATATTAAAACATGATTATCTTCAGCAACAGAGCAACTTAAGGCTGAAAGGCTAAAAATAAGTAAATTTAGCCCTACTTTGTTCATTATCAAACAATATAGCACAAAAAAATGGTAAAAGAATATCAATAAGAATAAAAGTGGTTACCAAACGGACACCAAGTGTCAAAAGTAAAAGAAGAACATGTGAATGCAGAATTACCCACTTTTTAAGAAAGAGATACAAGACCAAATATTATTGGAAATTACCTGCAGCCCCAAGTTTCTCTGCAAGCTTCTCAATCATTTTAAAATTCTCAGCACTTTTCAGAGCCCGCCCCCCTGTAACTACAATACATGCATTTCCCAAATCGGGGCGCTCTGTATTTTGAGAGCAAAGTTGTATATATCTTGATTTGCCAACTGCGCTATCTGTATAAGAAAAACGGCTCTTTATACTGTACAGTTACCCATGTACTAAGAATGAAGTCCAATACACCACATAGAGTGTTCGATTCTGATATATCGTGAACTCAAAATACAAAATATGTTGTACTCCCTGTCTAGCCTGAAAAAATCATGTTTTATAAAAATGGAAAAAAGTTGCATGTAGCATTCCAACAAAAAGTTATAAAGTAGCTCAATGTGATGTATTTAGTTACACTGTAAATAAATAAAAATTGTTAGGATAAGTAGCACTGCATGACCATTAAGAGTTGCAGGGGGGGGGGGGGGGTATTAGCCAGAGTATTAACATTTTCATGACAAGGTATATTAGCCTACCTTCATTCAAGGTAGATATATCAACCTGGTCAATGGAAGCAGCATTAGGTTTTGAATTATCTGCTAAACCTGTCGGAAAAGATGGAGCCCTGATGGTCAGCATACAAGGCATGGGGCCAGTATACTGAACAGTAGAAAGAGCATTTCCTGCATATGTTGGCCTGCCACACAGAAAGAAATCTGATTCAAATCAACTGCATGATGGGGCTGAGCCCGAGCATGAAACCACTGAGTGCTTAAAAGTCTATATTGATTATAAAAATATTTGTTTGAGACGTTTAAGTTTCCCTGACTGATTAAGCTTTGGAAAAAAACTCTTTACACACCATTTAAAACACGTTACACCCTGTGAGGCCAAAGGTTCTGAGTTGGAGAGGTGGACAGGCAACAGGAAGAGACAAGGCACCACAGGATTTCAATTATACCATCTGGATTTTCCCTGGCTTCCACATTTGCTCCTATCACCAGGGGTATGTTTGAATCTCATAAATTTATAGGGAACGGAAAGAATTGCGAAGGAAAGTTGTTCTTTTATAGTCGGATTCACCTTCGAAAGTACAAAAGGAAATGAAAAATGAATATTTTTGTTTTGTAATTTCTATGCATATTTAGAGTTCTTAGTTTCTCTATAATAGAAATGATAAACAAAATGAGTTTAAACAGATATCTAAACATATTTTTCGGGTTAGAATGTATTAGTTTTCTCTCATGTTTTCTTACTTACCTCCCTGTTTTCTTTCCCTAGCATTTTCCAGGTTCGAAATGGACCCCGAACGGAAAGCTATTAATCTCGCTCTTTCGCAATGGAATCTTCTTCTCCTAATCACATTCTAGAGAAAAACCCCAACCATGTTATGAGCTCATGGATAATCTGTCTTCCACCAATGGAATCTTCTCCTAATCACATTTATGAAGTACAAAAATGCTGCACCTAAGCTAACAGTCAAGACAAAGACAAACATGAAAGACATGCTGCTTCGACGCTCACATGATATCTCTTCTGAAGGGTTTGATACCTGCATTTGCTACCCCACCCACATGGATGTTAACCCACATTGTCATGGACCGAACTACACGTATACAAGTACCGATGTAGTAGTAAAATACAGGTAAAATACCAGGTTAATCCACGGGGAAATGGTTGATATTATAAAGTTCGAGATTTGAATACAAAGTATACGTTTAGAGGTAAGCAAGAATAAAAATATGAAAGCTATGAATTAAACTATGGAATGAATGATGGTTATGGGATGGAGACGGTGTTTAAATAGGCTAAAGATTGACATCTTATAGTCTATTCATGGATGAAAACCATGATTCGTTGTCTTGTTACATACACCATTTTATTTTTAATAATGAAATTTCTCAGCTCCCATTCTCCCAACCTCTAAATATCTTCACATCCCTTCAAGATATTTCAGCATGTTCGAGTGTTTCTGCAGAATCGGACCCAACCCGCGCCGGTCATGTATTATATATCTGATCGCCGAAAGGTGACTGGCGCCGGTTGGATGTTGGGTCCGGAGTTGGTCTGCTCTCAGCTTTTGTATGTTCGGAAAAACTCATCGTGACTGGCACCGCTTAAAAGGGCTGGTCGGCGCCAGTTACTCCCCAATCGCAAATACAAAGTATTTTGCCCCGTTTTGACGTCCGTGTTTGACTCAGAAGTGCTGCTTTTGGCCTCTTTAGACCCCCATTTCTTCATTCTTGTATGTCTATCATTTCTAGCTCAATTTGGGATTTTTGTTTGTTTTCTCTTTATAAATCTGTACAAATAAATATAATTACTTATGTAAAACATAAGTAATTATCGTGCTTATTCATCATATTGTACGACCTACTTCCTTCCTCGGCTAATTGTATATCCAGTCTCATGCTTCATAAAGCAGTGTCACACACTAAGAGAGTGTTCAGAGTCCAGAAAATGGTAGGCGAATAAATGACAAAAACGCTAGGGAAATTTATTTTCATACACTAGGGAAAGTTATTTTCATACGCTAGAGAAAAAGAGCACGAGATGTGGTTGTTTTAAAAAGTTTACTTATGTATCTATTTCTTAGTCTTTATATAATAGAAAAAGATGAATAAAGTAGTCTGAAGTTTGAACAAATATCAAAATTAGGCTTATCAGATTTGAACAAATGTTCTATTTTGCCTCACCTTTTCTTTCCTTCAAAATTTACCCTACACTTTCCTCCAGAATTTCTTTCCTAGCATATTCCCAGTTCCAGACCGATCCTAAAGGTTGTCTAGCTTGAAACTTACCAGAAAAATGAAGTTCTCCACTTATATCAGAACATTTAAAATGCTTTTGGTGTACCAGTTGAAAAAGAAATTATTAACAACTGTCGTGAACGAGTTTTTGTCACAGACAGGAAGCGTAAACTGAACAGTATAACTTACCTGACAAAGAGATGAGGTCCACAAATCTCAGTGACATCAGTGATTGGAGAAACATTCAGAAGGGCAGCTGCACGTGGTAGTATGCTTTTCCCAAATGAACTTGATGCTGATATTATATGTGAGTAGCTACCTGTCTGGTGAACTAACTGGACTAGCTTAGCCCATGGTTCTGCTAGAGGTTTTTCAAATATTTCAGAATCAGCAATAAGAACCTGACCAAATGAACCAATACATCAAAATTTCTGCAAATGATATGTAATGAAATATTAAACCACTTCGCATTTTATCTGTCTACTTAGCTTGCAAGTTGCAACATATTGTTAGAATGATTTAATTTTAACCTTATACATACATTATTAAAAAAACAGTCCACCAAATAATATTTCAGAAACTGTAGGCTTCATATTACAAAGTTGGTCATGTTGAAACAGTTCTTGAAACTGACTAACACACATGTTGATCATGTCATGCATCATTCGAGATGCATTTCCAGTAAGAATGGGATGCCTGTTCAAGCATTTTGTCATGTTAGCATCCAAGTTTCTCCTTTGTAAAGTTAAGAAATGGTTGAATAACCCTAAATTCACACTGAGACATAGTCATTTACTACAGCTCTGTTTGGATGGAGGCATTTAGAGGGGAAAGTTTTGGACGGTTAAATCTATATCTTAGTAGATAGAGTGTTATACTATCAAATATTATGTGAAACTTTCCATTTTTTTTTATAAAATCTGATATATATAGCCTGCCAAAGCAGTCCCCTCCAAGCCCCTCAACCCCCATCCGAAGAGACACTTAAAGGTATTTCATCTGCCGTAACAAACTGTTTCTATCATCATTCGCCAATAACCTCAGAAACTGAAGCAAGACATGATGCAGCAGTTGAAGCAGACTCCTTCATTGAAGGACCTGACCCAGCCAGTAATAAAGATATAGGACTATCACTGCTCAAATACTTGGCTGCCTCTATCGCACTTAATGATGAACTCTTGATATAGCCCCCTTCATGTTCGGCCACAACCAATGTCTTAAGCTGCACAATAAAAAAACAATTACACTTCAGAAATTTTGATTCACATAGCGATGCAGGTTTAATGTACTGAAGATATGCAACTCATGGATTACATTGCTTTTGTCCATCAGAGCAATAGCCATAAAAGCCTATAATAGTACTCGAGCACTAAAATTGTGGGTGTTCCTATATTGTACTCTGTACTCCATTTACAATTTATTGGTCACTTCAATGCTTTTTAAATCATATCTGATTCAGGCAAAACAGTTTGCATTTATAGCATCGAAAATACAAAATTCCAAACAACATAGCTTGATTCAACATTTAAGTTTCACATGAATAGCATCCTATGAACCTGATTTACTAGCTACTAAACGCTAAAATAGAGCAAACTTTTCCAATTATGCATTCAAGAAACTCGATTTCTCCATTATAGGTGCTTAGATATGAATAACGAAGCTGTTAAATGAAGTCCACCCAAAGGTGGGATTGAATAAACGAAGATATGTAAGCTAACTGAACGATAGTTGCCGATTATGCGTGAAGTGATAGAACGGTTTCTGAAAGCGGGAAGCAGCATTCGAGGGGCCATGCTTTTAAGCTTCTGCTGTTGTTTTTTTTTTTTTTGATGATAGCTTCTGCTGTTGGTTGGAAACCAGCTGAACTGAAAGTCCAAATCAGCTACTTTTTCCCAATTTAGGTTGGAAAAAATTAAGGACCTTTTCATTTCCACTATAAACAACTAACTAATTGCTCGTTTCACCATATGCCGGTCAGCCGTACACATTATGGGAATTCAGCTAATTGCTCGTTTTCAATTGTTTGGTAAAGAGTCCTTGGGTCCGGGTGTTTTTAGATTGAATAGTTGAAATAGAAATGAATATGAGATTTTTGGGTTAACATTTTGAAATATGATATTTTTTTATTATTTGTTGGGAAAATCACATATATGGTCCCTCAGTTATTCACGAATTTAAAATCTCATACTCGTATTTCTCATATTTCAAATTGCACTCCCGAGTTGACCAAATTGCATTAAATCTTGTCTCCGTCTTTAGAAGTCCAAGTAACACCGTCCAAGAACCCATTTTATTAGGCGTAATCATGTAACTTCCCAAATTTTAGGTTTAAATCCCTAAATCTGTAACTATCTCTTCGACCTTAACCCTTTATCGCGCTTAGCACTCCCCATTTCAAATCCTTTGGTTAAACATCGAAACTTACCTGAAAAACATTATATTGGACATAGCGTTCAAATATTGAAGCTTAGTTGTTCGCTTGAAACTGTGACGGAGGAAGGATGACCCGTCGAAGATTGAATGGTTAACTGCCACTCCAAAGTGTAAGTACCCAAACCAAAGTTATATATTGTTGTATACGTTTTCTACCGGAAAAGACAGTAAGATTTCTGGGTTGTATAATACTATAATATCTGAACTTCACATGCACTCATTTACATATACTAAATTGGTGTTAAGTGTTGGTGTTATTGCTTATGCTTTGTATATAAGGACCCTAATATATAATTAATGGTAGCATAGAATATGAAGTGTTGTGCTGTAAAAAATAGGGTCCCTATTGAATAGGCCCTAAGAAGTGCTATAGAGTGTTGTTGCTTATGATTTGTATATTGGGACCCTTGGTGTTAAGTGTTGTGCTATAGGGACCCTATTGAATAAGAGTTGGTGTTATTGCTTATGCTTTGCATATAAGGAATATTGTATATAATCATGCACTTTGGCTTTGTGGTGTTGATTTGTCTTTGATTGTGTTTGTATTACTTCTTATGCTTTGTAGATATCAAGGATGAGAGGCATACTTACACAATCAAGATGTATTATGTTAGCGATTTGGTGCTTCAACCTGCTGTACAATATAAGAATGGGAGAGTAGAGTACCTTGATTACTTCAACGGTGAGGAGAGAAGTATCTTGGAGTTAAGAAAGTTAGTGAAGAAGCTACGGTTCTGCTCTAAGAAGGTTATCTTCTGGTTGAAATATGGTTCCAGGAAATTTCCTAGTGTGAGAAGAATAATGACACATGAAGACTTATACAACATATGTTATGAGCTTCCAGAAAACAGAGAGATAGAGATGTTTTGTGGAGCATGTCAATGAGGATCAATGGAATTATGATGTGAATGTATCTTCTTTTATTCCTGCTGAGCTAGAAGAGATGGATGACTATAATGATGACGACAACTCAACATCTAGCTCAAAGGGAGAGTCATTTGAAGATAGCATGTATTATGATGGAGGTGAAGATAAAGGTATAGACACTACCACCAGTGCCATGAACAAGACCCATGACAATGAGTTTGTAGGGTGGGGAATGGAAGACATTGAAGATGATGATTGTGTGTATTCTAAAGATGATTTGAGAAGTCTGGGCTCTAATTTAGATAATGAGGGGATTGATCAAGGTCGTGTGTATGAATAGAGAGGCTTCAAGAAGGATGGGTTTATGTTTGCCCTTAGTATGAAGTCCCGGAGTAGTACTGATTTCAAATGGGCTGTGACCTACCAAGAAGCAAAGAACATGAAGGATATCAGATTTCCTAAAAATGAAAGCAAAAGGGTTAGAACAGTCTGCAGGCATGAACACGGTAAGTGGACCATATTTGGGTCCAAAAGTAACCCAAACTGTCCTTTCACAGTTAAAACTTACTATCCGGATCATACATGTGGAGACCAACATGACAATAAAGACCATCACCTCTTGGTTTCTTGCAAAAGTGTATGAAGATGAGTTCAAGATCAACCACAACTGGGGTAGAAAGGAGTTTCAACAGCATGTGCAAAAGAAGTACAAATGTAAGCTGAGTGAGCACAAATCTTACAAGGGCTAAGAGACTGGCAATGAAGAAATGGGAAGGTGATGATTCCAAGCAATTTGAGTTGATGTGGGACTACTTTGAAGAGTTGAGAAGAAACAATCATGGAACAACAGTTAAGATGAAGCTTGATGGTGACTTCAGTGTGAATGAGAGGTCAAGATTCCTGAGATTGTACATTGCTTATGGAGCTTGCAAGCAAGGTTTCTTGAGTGGTTGTAGACCTCTTATAGGGCTAGATGGCTGTCACCTAAAGGGTTCTCAGAAAGAAGGACATCTACTTTCAGCCATTGGAGTTGATCCTAACAACTCAATTTATCCAATTGCATTTGCTGTTGTGGAAGGGGAGTTGAATGATAGCTGACCATGGTTTCTTGGAATTCTTAATGAAGATTTGGATATCTCATCAAATCGGGACAATCATTTCTGATAAGCAAAAGGGGCTACTACCTGCAGTTGAAGAGATTCTCCCTGGGGTTGAACGCAAATTTTGTGTGAGACATATGCATGCAAACTTTGTGAAGGATGGGTTTGGTGGGCAAGAACTGAAAGAAGGTTGTGGGCTGTATGCAAAGCCACAACAAAGCCTGCATTTCAGAAACGCATAGAGGATTTGAAGAAGCTTAGAGCAGGTGCTGCTGAATGGTTAGGTTCCTGAGACCCAAGCCACTATTGTAGGGCTTTTTTAACACATTCGTAAAGTGTGATATGTTGTTGAATAATTTGTGTGAGTCCTAGAATAGCTCAATATTAAATTTCAGGGACAAGAGCATTTTAACAATGTGTGAAAGCCTTAGAATTTACTTGATGGTGAGGATGCAACAAAATAGAGATGAGATGAGAGATAGCCCACTACAAATTTGCCCTAAAATTCTGAAACTTCTGGAAGAAGCAAAAGATAGCGCAAATGAATGTATTGCCTACAAAGCCACAGATGGTATATATGAAGTAGAGGACGGTTATTGTAGGCAATTCAAGGTGAATTTGTTAGCACATACTTGCTCTTGTTGGAGATAGGATCTCACTAGCCTGCCATGTGGTCATGTTGTTTGTTGCATTTGAAAGAGTAGAGAAGCAACGAAGAAGTTTGTGCACAAGTGCTACACAGTGGAGTGCTATCTCAGGGCCTATGAACCTGCTATTATGCCCATAAATTCATCTGGGCAGTGGCACAAGAGTGGATTACCACCACCTATTCCTCCAAAGTATAAAGCTCAACCTGGGCGCCCAAAAAAAGAGAAGAAGAGTTGGTAAAACAGAGATTGAGGAAGGACGACTGAAGCATAAGCTTGGTAAATCTGGCCAAGTCAAGATATGTGGTGTATGTGGCATTGCAGGGCACAACAAATCCACACGCAAACAGAAAAAAACCAGGTTGTTTAGACTCTTTTTGAAACATTCTTCATCCTTGCCAAGTACTAGTTCTATTCTAATGTGATTACTAATTTCATTTCACAGACTACTGAAGTTGTTGTTGCAGGTGAGACTATGATCCACACTACTCAAGTACCCACTGCAGTGTTGGAAGAACTGGTAAGGGTACCTAAATTCCAATGTTGAACATCTTTCACATTAACTGCTTTAAAGTTACCTAATAGTATTTGTTATATATTTAGGACCTTATGAACTCTCAACAAACCACCTGCCCACCAACATCTAGGATATCTGAATCTGTTCAATGGGAGGGCTACCAATAGATGGAGGTGCAAGGATGGAAGAGGGGAAGAAAGCACACAAAGGGAAGACAGTTTCAAGTGTGGCAAAAAAGAATAGGACTGGATGGAATTTGACTAAGAAAAAGTGATCTGATGGAAATGGAAGATTATGTTTGTGAAACTGTTGTGATATGTTTTCATGTTTTGTTATGTATGGCATTATATTTTTGCAACTGACAAGTCATGCTATATTTGGTATATCATTTCATTTTTGCAAGTGATAAACACTGATGTTGTAGTGTATGGCATCAAATTTTTGGAGGATGTGCAAGACACTTGTATGTAGTGTAACACCCTCATGTGTAAACACTTCTTAAACGCCCTTTTTGCTCATAATTATATGGGTGTTTAATAATACGTATATGTTTATTTGGATGGGTGCAAATGAATCTGTGTTAGTCTTGTTGTTTATATTACCATTTCAATGGATGTGAATGTGAATATGTGTTAGTGTTATTTTTTTCCTTGCATATTATAATACAAGCAACAAGGTATATAAATTTACAACAAAAACATTAAACAACAAGGTATATAACAAGATACACTTATTATTTCCATTATTTGTTGTGGTGTGCATGAACAACAACCATTACATAAACTGAAAACAAACACTCAAACTACAACACACTTAAACACTTAAACTGAAACGAACACCTAAACATAGTACAAATGAACCCTACCACATGCTTCAATTTCAAATTCGAATCAATACTACACTTTGAACTACCCTTCTTTGGTCTTCTTCTCATATGGAATTGTTAAATTCAGTGTCATATTCCTGCCTTCATTCATTGTTGCATGAGCAAACATTTCTATAAGTTGATTAACACCACCTTTGACATTGTCATCTACACCTCCTTCACCCTCAAGACTTTGACTATGGCTTCCATTGTTACTCCTTCCCCCAATTTCCATTTGAAGTAGTTGCATTGTGTGCAATTATAAAACAATCTTCCCTTATTTTTACCAATTTTTGTTGTAATCAAGCATCTTTGAATGCCATTTGAACACGCAGGGCACTTCTTCTTGTTAGGGCATTGACTTAGGAAATGGTTTGGACTCCTGCAACCATGACATATCCCATAATTTGTCAACATTTTTGTTCCTGCAAAATGAATCAAACCATGTTCAAGGGTAGTAAATTTATTATCTTGTTTTGTAATTTTCAAACCCTATATATCTTGTTCAAGTCAGAAATAAAGAAAAGAAGAAAGACTGAAAACAAGAACACCAAAGGGAAGAACAAATTAAATACTACGAACCTCAACCAAAGTTACCCTAACTCGTTTGA